CATACACAAGATCATCTGTAGTTAGAGAATTAACCGAACAACTATGATCCCGTCACAAACAGATAAACCTCGTTGGAGCAAGTCCATGGTGTCAAAGCCTCTGTTTAGCTAAAAGTTCTAGTTTGTCACTGGCGTGGGCCTGGCGTCCTTCTGTAGCTTTTGGACAAACTTCTCTGCGTCGGGGACCGTGTTGAAGGAGTGTCGCTGTCCGTTGTGTGTTACTACCAAGATAGCCGGGTAGAACATCCCGTAGCGGAGCCCCATGGATTGTAGCTGCTTTTTCACTGCCTCGAAGAGTTTCTGTTGCCGGTGAGTCTCCGCTGAGTGGTCTGGATATAATCTGACGTTGTGATTTTCAAAACGCACTGTTCTCTGTCTCAGGGCTGCTCGCATAGCTTTTTCCTTGTCTCTGTAGTTAAGGAACCTCACAATTACCGACCTTGGTTTTGGGTCCTGGCCAGCGATTAGACGTCCTATTCGGTGTGCTCTCTCAATAACGGGCGGTGTGGAAAAGGTGTCGGTGCCCAGGGCTCTTGGTAGCCATTGCTCCAAAAAACGCACACACGTCGATGAGCCTCAGGTTGTTGCGACGGCCCCTATTTCCCTGGTCTTCCAACTTCATTTCCAATGTGGCGCATTTATCCTGTAGCTTTTTGATAGCGCTGTGCATGGAATTTAAGTCTTCCTCGGTCTTTCCAATTCTTTCCTCTGCTTCTGTGATCCTGTTAGCTTGGTGTTGCAGCTCACCCTTGAGTCCTCTTATTCTTCCCTCAAGCACATCGTCAAGTTTCTTTGAAAAGTCGCTTTGCATTGCATGTATGTCGCCGAGGACTTCCACAATCTGGGCCATTGCCTCTGTGTTTTCGCTAGCGGCAGCTGAGCTAGCTTTAGCTTGCGACATTGACGTTTTCGAGGCTGCAGGCGTCTGTGGACCTGCTTTCTGAGGTCTTCCTGGCATAATGTTGACAGGATAATGTGTATTTAAAGGAAGTTGTGGTCTTCTGAATAATTAATTCAATATATTAGCTTCGGAGCCTCATGGAGATGCGTCTCACCAGCACTGTGCCATAACCGGAAGTCACTGGTGTCCTATGCTTACTTTTAGTACTTGTAAATAAAACTTTTGGCCCGTAATTTCAATTCCCCATTTCAGAGACCAGAGAGGGGGGATATCCAGTCTGTATATGTCCACATCTGTAGCCTGTTATTGTCTCATTACACCGCACTGTGAATTAATTAAAAGTAAATACATAAGTCGTCACGAACACATCTGTCCATCAGACAGAGTGCTGCTGTGCCTCCTGTCATCATTAATGGACGTCTCTTTAAAATAGCCGCCCAGAGGAGAGGATTTCTCATTACGCCTGCTGCTTCCACTCCTCTCTCCTCGGTTCCCCTCCTCGACTCCTCCGCTCGCATCTCCTGTGGGCGGGACTAAGACATGAGGATAGGAGTAGGGGAGGGGAGTCGAGGAGGGGAAATTAGAGAATTGAGAAGCCTTCTCTGTCTGTTACTTTAGATGAAAATAAGGAGCCACTCCCCACGCCCCTCTGCGAGATATTTGGTTAAAAAGAAGACAATGGTGCTCTAGGAGGAGATTCAGGTGATAAGGTTATCTTGGTTGGTTATTGGTTAATGGTTACACAAGCCAACAAATCGTTATGACATCATACAGTGGCAGTGATCAGCTCATTTTTAGACAGGAAGGACAAAAAGTGAACAAATCTTTATTCCTGAAACTTTCAGAATGTCTTTACACAAAGGGGACACATGTTTATGTATAAAAGACATGAAGAAGTGGATTTTGCATAATAATATTTAAGAGAAGTGCATGAGTGTAAGGAAACAAATCCTACCCTAAAAGACTCCCTCATTCCTCCATTGTCTGCTATGTTTTCTGACAGAGTCCTCTTGCCCCGCACCTGCACAACAAAACATCCACAATGCACTGATTGTCTTTATCCTTCTCCAAGTGATTACAAAAGTTACAATCATTAAAGTAAATTCTAAATCAGGTCTCTCAACTGTGCAATGCTGACACATAAACATACTCAACAGAGCCTGTAAAGTGTCAAACTGCATTAGGCAAGTATATTTTTTACATTGTCATTATTTAAATGTCTTTTAATATTTCCAGGGATTTAAAAAAAGTTACTTAGTAGCTTATTTTACTGTTGTAAAGTCAAAATCTTACATCAAGTCCTGCCTCCTTCCAATGGTAGGCATTATACTGGTCAATCATACACTGGCTCTGCTCATTGAAGGCGTCTATAGACGAGTTGCTCCACCACTGGTGAAGGTTGCCATTTTTGTCATACTTGCGACCTGTTCATGAAAAGGGATCAAACATAACAAAATCCCCCCAGCTGTGTCAAAAATCTCTGATATTGATGTTTAAGGTCATTCTTGTCAATCAGTATTTACCGTTATTGTCAAAGCCGTGTGTTAACTCATGTCCTACTATCACCCCGATGGCACCGTAGCTTAAAGATCTGGAAACAGATGAAAAGTGGATTAACTTTAGTCCTCCTTATTAACTCCCTTTTCAAGTAGAATGAGCCACAACAGCATTTTAAAAATTGACAATTTGTGACAACATAATTCAAACTATTAAATAAACTATTGCTTGAAATCTCATACTAATGCACTTCATATTAACATATAACATCCAAACGTATACTGTCAAAATGTGCTTTATACTTAATTGGTATACATAAATAATTGGTGTATATTGTTGGCTGAATGATAACGCATGAATTCAGACTACTTTTTTAAATCATGATGCAACTATTTTGGCATCCTCTTGGCTTGTTAATTGTAATTGTATGTCCTCATCAGGACATTATTATTTATGTTTTAAATGTGTCTCTCCCTGCTGGCAGCAGATAACTTGTTAATTGTAATTTTATGTCCTCATCAGGACATTATTATTTATGTTTTAGATGTGTCTCCCCCGGTTGGCAGCCGATAATTTGGAATTAAGTCCACCATGTGACCAATATATCATGTGTTAGGAAGCCAAATGTGAGCAGGACAGCCACATGGTTTATGATGATTACAATCTGCTTCAAACCTTCTTTTGCATTCTTGGTAGGTTAAATTACTAAGAGTATTTTTGGGATTGATAGTTTATATATTGTTTTGTGTAAACTCCGTAGAACTCACGTTAGCTACAGCCTATAGTGCTATAGCCAGTTATATGTGTACATTTCTCGCAACTTTATATTCAATTTTCTAAAATTAGTTTGAACTTCCTTAAAGATTAGATTTGAATAGCTGTAGTCTTTGGATGACAAACAAATGAATCGTCCACATTTTGGACATATCTTCCATTGCATACTGAAAGTACTGTGGTGTTGTAGTAGTCTTCCCTTTTGCTTTCTTCCAGTACGTTCATTTAACTTTGCTCACTTTAATCCTTAATCAAAAGCATCACGTGGCTTATCTATATCTATAAGTAGAGCATGTCGTATTATTTCATTCTCACCTTGGATACTCTCTACCCCAAAAGAAGGGTTTTTGAAGCTCTCCAGCAGGAAATCCTAAAAGAGAAGATCAAAATGATGTTGTTCTTTTTGCTCTTTTCATTTTTCGAAGACTTTATGGATTGCCTTTTGCCTTTATTATATAGGACATATAGACTGGAAAAGGGGAGAGCGAAAGGGGATCACTTGCAGCAAAGAGAAACAGGATGGATTAGAAGTTGTCAGCCCACTTTCAGGTAAGCTATCTGGGCACCCAGACAACCTTTTTTCTACATCAGCCTGTGTGTGAGGCACAGCTATTTATTAATTAAAAGTGTGATTTATCAAGAGAGTAACTATTATAAATCAGATCACACTTGACATGTTATAAAAAGCAGTCCTCACGTCATCCCTTTTAGTTCAACACGTGTTTAACCCATGGTTTAACCCCAATTCACTTTCTTTCTTCTGACACTGAAATGCTTACTTGCCATTTTTAAGAAATTATACACTCCAAAAATGTATTATAAGCAGATACATACTTGAAATCACTGAAATGCAGTGCACCGTCATCGTTCCTGACAGAGGTTCAGTAGACAGGTAGTAAGTAATTAAATAAAATATGTCAATAATCAATCATATTATATCTTACTGATTTGATTCGTGGAGGAACTGTAGAAGGCGTTCACAGTTGTTGGGTTTGTAAACCACCTGCAACACACACACGCGCACACGCACACACACACGCACACGCACACACACACACACACAACTATGACATGTCAGCAAATGTAAAAAGTCACACAGCAAGTTCACAGAGATGAGTCCTGCCACTCACTCTTTTCGTGGGACGGCCTTTCGGAGCAAGGCCAGATCAGATTGGACAAAGTACTTCAACGTCTGCATCACATTCCCATAGAAGTCTTTCTCACTGTATTTCAGCTAAAAAATACACAAATGCAAATACACACTATGAAAAAACTGTACTTTTCTGCAAATATTACACCAGAATTTGACCTTTTTTTAGAACAGCCACTCTCAATTATTGCTAGCAGACCATGTTTGTTCTTCCTAACTGATTTTTAAAACACAACTAGCTTTCAGAACTGCTTTACAAACCTGCTTTAGGTCCTCATTGAGGAAGGTGTCGTTCAGAATAAACTCAGGGTAGCCAACTTTAGCCAGGACTGCATGTGCCTTGAGAGAAAAAGATAGTGAGTGGAGATTTTAAGCACATGTTTAGCGTCATAGCCAATGTCTTAACACAATGTTTTCCTGCAACGGTTTAACCACAGAACAAATTGGAGACAGTGTAAACACTAAAGATATAGAATCTAAATGCAATGATGTTCGATTTGAGGTCACTACAAATCTCACATCCTTGTGATCAATAAAAAAAGCCCACAGTGAACCTGATTATTTTTTTATGTTTTAATATTGACCTAACAGATTTGTGAACCAGGGTTGTTTTGGTTTAAGCCGTACAGCTTAAAAGTCAACTCCTCAACGAACAAAGGTCTTTGTACGTTGCTTTAATTGAAAATCAGATACACATACATATACAAACACACGCAAAAATGCCTGTAATTTTAGTGTGATTGTTTGAGCGCTACGTCCAATTTATATGTTTGATAAAAAAAACATTGATAAATCCACTGTACGCTGCCCAGTAAAAAACACCAGGCACACGGAATGAGTGACTGTCTGGTAAAGCAAGTCAAACATTTGCTCAGCTAATGTGACAGATATTTTTGCCTGGGAGACAGTGCTGCCCCTAAGTGGCAAAAACAATTGAGTACAGCTTAGAGCTAGATAACTTTATTTGGGAAGTTCAATATAGAACTGAGAGCAAATAAGAGGGAAGCAAAGCAGATTATTACAATGGCAGTGGACTGTTGCTAGACTGAGATGGGACAGAGGAAAAAGTTGTTCTTGCCTTTTCTATTGCTTTCATCTTGGTTGGTTTATCCATCCAGTCATTCTCATTTTCCAGCATGTCAATGAACGCCCAGCGAATGCCATCGATCAACTCTTCCATCTGAGAAACAAACACAAACACATTAACTCGAGGACGTTTACAAAAAAAATACTGCTCTTGGTCTTATTGCCACATTTACCCAAACCCAGATTGATGCAGATGACAACACTTTAAATGTCTGACATCACTTCCATGTGAGACACAGACAAAATACACTTAACACAGACATCTGTTACACATATACAAAATGTAATCACTTGACCTACAATGTTGGACATGATGTCATTTCTAGAGCATTAATTGTAAATAAGCCATCTGTATGCATACACACCATGTGTTTCTTGTCTTCCTGGAAATGTCTGTTGACAAAGAGGCGTCCAGTAGCATAACCAAGCGTTTTATCGACAAAGTTAACACACTTATCCCAGCGCGGGGTCAGAGAGGTGGTTCCCTTGGTAACCTGGAGCGTGTGTGAGAGAAAGAGAGGAAAGGTAACATTGACTCTTTCGCCACATGGCACTTACTTTAACTGGTATAGTCTCAGCCTCTGAATAGCCTACTTACTGGTTGGGAAATGTTGGGACTGATACTAAAGCAAAAGAAACGATTTATATCATCATTTTTTTCGTTCAAGCCATAAAGTTCATTGGAGTTCATCTCTAGGCTTGTCTTAAAAATCAAACTAGTTGGTGTACCTTGGAGGCCTATCAATTGTTTTCCTTCATGGAACCAGTAAATGGAAAAGCAACCAAATCATTTTTCTTTCTTGAACCAGTCAACAGAAAAGCAACTTTTTGTTTTGCTTATTATCTTACTAAATGGTCCAATGATGAATGGAGCAGGGGAGGGCAGAGGGTTACTCTCAGAAGTAATTTCCAAACAAAAGCTCTTGCAAACTTCATCCAAAAGCTCTTGGAATAAGGTGGCAATAGGCTATATCAGCATTGGAACCAACTCAGAGATGTCAGAGATGTTAACAGTGGGTTAACGTGTGAACATGAACAACTTTTTGCTACCTCATCTCTCGAGAAACACTCTTTAACCAGCCGACATGCCCCTCTAACTGGTTATTGGTTGTTGATTCCAGCAGCTGTTCCCATAAATGTCAACATCACTGCAGTTGCAAAGCGAAAGAAAGACAGCATGCTTCAAATCCTCCACCATCATTCCTGTCCCGAAGAAAACAAGGACCCCAGGATTGAATGACTACAGCCCTGATCTCTGTGGTTTTGAAGTCCTTTGAGTGCCTTGTCCTGTCCCACCTAGAAACCATCACAGACCCCTAAGTCTGTGGAGTCCTTCCGCTTCCTGGTTAACATCATCTCCCAAGACCTAAAGTGGGAGCAGATGTAGCTCCCTCACCAAAAAAGCCCAGCAGAGGATGTTCTTCCTGAGGAAGCTGAAGAAATGTAACCTGCCAAAGTCAATGATGGTGAACTTCTACACCTCCATCATCGAGTCCATCCTCACCTCCTCCATCACCATCTGGTACGCTGCAGGTACAGCCAAGGACAAGGGCAGGTTGCAATCTCTCGCCACCTGAATAGTTTCTTCCATGATTATATCCCTTTCTTCTAAACTATTAATATCACATAAAAGCCTGTCTTGTAAGCCCCTACACTTCCTCTACAGTTATTCCAATATTATCCAAAAACTTTACCATGTGGGGGCTTTCATTTTGAAATTACTTCGGAGAGTTCCGTCCTGCACCTCATAAAAAACAAAAACGAAATAACCATCAGTTACTATTCTTTTTACTGGTGTAAGAAAGAAACACTGTTAATAAGAAGGTATACGGATTGACTACTCAAAATATCACATCAATTTCCCAGTTCTCTGTCTTGTAGTAGAGAGATCAGTATGTACAGTAGCACATACTGTTAACTACCAGTGTTGAATCTGAATAAACTTCCTGTATACATAGTATAAACATTTTCCAAACATCCTTTATGAAGTGGGATTTCTCCAACATTTTCCAGCTGTATCTGCATGATGTCAAGCCAACGTTTTAGCTTTTTTAAAGACACACAATACCCATTTATTTTTTCAGTTAATCAAAACCCTTAAGAATGACCCAAACAATACAGAATTTGGAAAATTCTTTCTGTACCAACCCGTGCATAGTCCTGGTATCTGTAAAGGAAACGACGGCTAAGGGAGGAGATGCTGGAAAAAACTGTCCTCCATTGTACGTAGTTAGCTACAATCCTGGAAAGAGATAGAGAGGATGAACATTTATTAAATAATGCCATGTAATCTCATTACACACTATAATAAGATAGGTGTGTCTGGCTGTTTAAATATATATGTGTGTTCTATCCTGTGATACTTCGTAGTCCCTCCTTGTTTGCTGTACCACGTGTTTCAGTCTAAGTCTTGTCGCACATTTATATGAAATGTTTTGCTGTGTGTGTGTGTGTGTGTGTGTGTGTGTGTGTGTGTGTGTGTGTGTGTGTGTGTGTGTGTGTGTGTGTGTGTGTGTGTGTACCTAGGATCTGTACTGTTGATGAGCTTAACAAGGTCCCTAAAGTACTGCGGTGCTCGGACGATGACAGGCTCAGAGGTGGAGATGGACCGAAACGGTTCAACTTTAGAGTCCACCACAGCTTTTACAAAACCCAGCCAATCAAACTGCATACAAAGAATATATCCAGTAGAGGTTACTTATATAACATATAGTCCATTACAACTCAGAATAATACAAATTGAGGGAGACCTGTAATGATGTAAATCATTTTTGCATGTAGAAAAAGGACTGCTTGTCTTAAACGTTAAGTAATTCAAATACATATGTAAAATAAATCATAAAACAGGTGATTTGGTTTTACGAAACATTGGAAGGATTGTGTTCTTTAAGTGTTTGTTTGTATTTGAAGTACCTGTGGTATGGTGCGCTGCAGGCGAGAGAGCGACATTTTGTTGTACATGTTGTCACTGTTGCGGTTATCATATGGAATCAGGATCTGCACACACAATGAGCAATCTGAACTGACATGACTGATCCTAAATACAATGTTTTAACAGTCACCTATTATGCTAAATCCACTTTTTCATGTCTTTTAGACATAAACATGTGCCCCCTCTGTGTAAATAGATTCTGAAAGTTTCAGGAAAAAAGATTTGCTCACTTTTTGTCCTGATCCATTTATATAAAAACCTGTCTGAAAATTAGCTGATCAGATTTTGGCCACTTAATGATAACGTTTTTTTGGCTTGTGTAACCATTAGCCAATAACCAACCAAGGTAAACCCACCCCCACCTTACCACCTGAATCTACTTCTAGAGCACCATTGTGTTCTTTTTAACCAAATATCTCGCAGAGTGGCACCTTATTTTTATCTTAGGTAAAAGACAGAGCATCAGCACTTTTGAAACAGGGCTGAAACAGAGGGGTTTATGGGATGCTACAATGATTTGTTTGGTATTTGGACCCAAACACTTCATAGACATGTTTTGTATATATCTGAGACCTATAATATATTGATGAAAAACAGTATGATAGAAATAGAATAGTAGAATCGGAGAGATGAAACCCTCTTTTAATGGTCACACATGCAGAGCACACACACAGCACACACAGTGGAATGTGTTCTCTGCATTTAACCCATCCTAACTAGTAGGAGCAGTGGGCAGCTATTGTACAGCGGGGACCTTTAATAGTTTTCCTTAAAGTAGATCAATCATTCTCATATTTCACAACACATTAGTTAACACATCCAGTGCCATTATGGACTATGAAATTATCTCCAAACATTGAATAGATTTATATGTATCTGACATGACGTTCTTACATAAGCCAGTTTGGTCTCGAAGGCAAGAGCCTCTTCCATCTGGGTCAGTGCTGCTTTCTCCTGAGCGCCCAGCATAACTGCTGTATCCACCATGAAACTCAACAAGGCTTCACGATACTGGAGAAAAAAGCAGAGCGAAAGAGAGAAAATAAAGATACGCCATCAGACATCAAGCAAAGGCTTCTGCACTTCTTTTGCAGATTTAATATTATCTGTTTTATGGGGACAGATGCACAGCGAAGATGCACAAAATAGAATACAAAGTGCCATAAAAGTTAACAAGATCATAGTTACACAAACAGAGTGATTATCCATGAACCTAATTAAAAACAGCCTATTTTTTTTTTATTAACTTCATAATGTTAATTATGTATTGTTCTACACAATATTAAGGAGAGTGCTAGTTGCACCCTAAATGTAGAACATTGTTTATCTATGGATACTAGCAAATGTACTTTATACTGATAGTCTACTAATATCATGAAAAACTCTTGATTTGCTCCATTTTTTGTTACTCTGGCCTGATGAGCCAGCTATTAGACAATCAGCATGTGTTGCCTTTCCACAATTCATTTCCTGCATCACAACTCTCTACCATCTGTGAAAATGTTTAGTCTGGAAGGAATTATTGTTCTGACAAAAAAAAAAAACATAATTAGCTGTTGATATTTTAAGCAGCTGAACCTCTTTCTAATGCAATGTATCACTCAAGCAAGAAGAGTTTTTAAATAACAAGTAAAATAAATGAAAGATGGAGCAGAGACTCACCGCCCGCGCGGAGGAAGTGTTGGTGATGTAGTCTTCCCTGGAGGGCAGAGACAAGTACTCCTGATCAAGCTACATAAAGACAAAGAGCACATATTAGATTTTGCTGCTTTTTAAAATTGTATTTTTTCTTCTTCTACCTTCGCTGCAGCCATAACAATTTGAACAATGTGCAAGGAGCTGAACCTGTGGAGTTTCTTATCTACGTTGTTTCAAAATTGTAATATTAGTTGTAAAGTAAAACATATACAGTACATCTGTTTGATTGGTTAAAATTCCATAAAAACCATGCTAATATAAACATATAGTATAGTTTCTCCTTTCTTATAGTCCCTGTAGTATTTTCGATCTTGTTGTATTTTTTTACTTTTTATATTATTTATCCAGATTGCTTCAACGGACATGTGGGCAAATATAAACAATAAAAACAGAACAATATACAATTGTATATTGATTTGTTTTTATTGTTTATATTTGATATTCCTCTCTGAAGAACCAGCACCTTACCGTGGTGGAGAGGTTTGTCTGCCCTGATGAACCTGGGGGCTGTGTTGTCTGGAACCTTGTGTTCCTGGAAGGGCCTCCCATGGCAAGTTGGTCTCAGGCCAAGGGCAAGACTAATATTGGTCTAAGACCTCATGAAAGACGAACTAAGAAGTGAGGATACCCGGCCTGGAGGAAGCCCGGGGTCCCCTTCTGGAGCCAGGCCCAGAAGGAGGACTCGTCGGCGAGCGTCTGGTGGCCGGACTTGCCACGGAGCCCGGCCGGGCACAGCCCGAAAAGGAAACGTGGGCAACACCTCCGCTTCTCCGTCCCGCGGGCCCACCACCTACGGGAAACAGTGATGGGGTCGAGTGGGCTGCCAGAAGGGTGGCAGTGAAAGCAGAGGGTCTCGACGGACCAGACCCGGGCGACAGAAGCTGGCTTTAGGGACGTGGAACGTCACCTCTCTGGGGGGGAAGGAGTCGGAGCTTGTGCGGGAGGTGGAGCATTACCAGTTGGATCTGGTTGGGCTCACCTCTACGCACAGCGTTGGCTCTGGAACCTTACTTCTGGATAGGGGTTGGACTCTATTCTTCTGTGGAGTTGCCCAAGGTGTGAGGCACCAGGCGGGTGTGGGGATACTCACAAGCCCCCGGTTGGGTGCTTCTTTGTTGGAGTTTACACCAGTGGACGAGAGGGTCGCCTCCCAACGCCTGCGGGTTATGGGGGGAAAACTCTGACTGTTGTGTGTGCTTATGCACCCAACAGCAGTTCAGAGTATACGGCCTTCTTGGAGACCCTGGAAAGAGTCCTGTATGGGGCTCCTGAAGGGGACTCTTTAATCTTGCTGGGAGACTTCAACGCACATGTGGGCAATGATGGAGACACTTGGAGGGGAGTGATTGGGAGGAACGGCCCCCCTGATCTGAACCGGAGTGGTGGTTTGTTACTGGACTTCTGTGCTAGTCATGGATTGGCCATAACAAACACCATGTTCGAACATAAGGATGCTCATAAGTGTACGTGGTACCAGAGC